GGCCATGGCATATTCAAATCCAACACTATCAGTACAAATATTTGACAAAAATACAATTAATCGTCGTTAATGTTTCACTTACGAGTGCAATTCATTCCCGTGAAATTTGCCGTCATTCGGGGTATTTAGTCTATTTACTTACCACGTAGTGGCGAGTTAAAATCTCTCTCACTTAACTCCCCGACACTGTATTTCACCCCAAAGATAGTTTCCGTGAGACTGTTTCATTATTTGTTATGCCTGTTCTACTTTAAAAATGCAAATGCCAAAATAGCCGCTACTACCGTGAAAAGTGTCAGCTAGTATTGCGATCAACCAATAACAAATAGCCACTAAAATATGCAAAAGTAGGTTTAACGTACTCACCGTTCAGAACGTGCGAATCGATCTATTCCATTTCTAAATAGAAAACATTCGCTTTACACAGCGTGTAGACTATTATTATTGCCTTGGGCATAAAATAATTTCAAGTTTCTCTTTATTTCAAGGACGTACTGGCAAATATCTCGAAGGGAAACCGATTGTCTTAGAATTTATCCTTCAAAACAGGAATTTTATATAGGACGTGCCCTGTGGCATCCCAAGCTTACATGTCGTTGTTGTAGTCTAGGACCTGTATATGAGTTTGTATGCATTTCATTTAGGACAGATAATCTCAACTGTTTTACGGCAAGTTGACCATGACGGTCAACATGGTAACGCTGCCCGAACCTCAATCCGGGACGAAACGTCCGAAGCTGACCACACCCAAAAACGACGCTTTCGCCATACTGCTATCTACCAAACCATAAAAGCTTTGGCTATTCTGAGGTGCTTATATGGTTCAGAGATGGTACTTTTGGGGGTGATCATTGGTAAGTGTGAAATGCCTAGCACTAATATTTCACAGGAAAATGACCATGCAATAATCATAGTTAAACGTCAATTTGTGGCTTGCAACTTCAGATAAACAGCAGTGGACTTACATTACCTTTTTCCCCAAATCTTTTTTATAGAAACATAATTGGTACTTATTTAAGTATATTATCACTGGTTTGGTGTAAAATAGTTAATATTTTCTGACCGAAATAATAATTTGAAATGTGCCTACCTCCTGCAAATGGACATATTTGGCCAAGTTCTCCACTTTACTCCGCTGTTTATCGGCGATCTCGTCGACATCCTACAAAAATGTAAATCATCTCAGACATAATGGTATCAAGAACATTTTAAACAAGTTTCAACTTGGTTTCAAGTAGATCATACCTGTTTAACCATCGACAAGGTAAATCCACAACTTTGTCCAAATTCGGCGCCATTATGTCATCAACTTTAACAAAGCTACGACACAGAATTACAACACACGATCAATGCGTTCCAAACCATCCTTACACTTTCCAAGTTAATATGAACTAGACATGGACCGCCCATATACTGCAATCTTTTCCAAGTCAACTGCCTTAAAATGAAGAGATCTGAAATTTGCAACGAAGATTTGGGAAAAGATCGCGTTACAAAAAAAGATTTATACATATAGATGAGTCAACATTGTGCAGCACAGACACAGTCACAGAATGCAGTAAACGTCCTAAACATGTGTGTGCTCCAAGCTGTCCCTGCATTTTACAATATAGGATTCCAAGAACATAGACCGCTCGGGTGTTGTTAAATTAAATTAAATTAAATTAAGGTAGACCCTTTGATTAACTCATTGGAAATTTCCTTTTCACTGTCAATCATTGATGAATAGTTTTAGAATTAGTATTAAGGCTAGTTCCATGCTCAGATAAGTAGCTCTGCATGACATAAACACAATATAAAAAAATTGATATTTAAGATGGTAAGACCCAAGAGTGGACCACGGGACTATTGGTCCCCTAAAATTTTGAGTTCCCAAAAATATTTCACCAAGAAAGAAAACCCTAAGTTATAAAATTTAAAAATAGGAGATAGTCAGAGGACAAATTCTAACCAATAGAAAGAATGTTACCTGTGCTGTACTGCAGGTGCAACCTCGTTCCCAGGGCTTCAGTCTGAGGACGAGGTGAGGCACGAGGAAGCCCTGGTCTGGGCCGGTCACGTGACGACAAAAAAATGGCAGTATTTGACAGCTACTCGTCAAGGAGTGGCGAGATATTCTTTAATGAAATATACAAGTCTTCGAAACAAATAAATAGCCAAAAGACTTCTCAATCCATATTATTTATGTGTAGAGCGAAGTTTGGCACGAATCAGCTAAAATCTATGAAGATCCCGTCTATGTTTTCTAAGATATACCGATATTTCTGGAGATTTTCAACTACAGGCAAAGCTTTTCTAGGCGTCTCCATGCAAGTGGTGATTCACACAAAATTTCCTTTCTCTCGTCTTGAACAATATGGCTATTGCTATAATTAATATTTAGTTTTTATATGCTCTTATAAATCTGACTTAGTTCAATATAAATAAACACAAATATAAAACCTCGCGTAACCTGTTTAAGCTGTCAGGAATATACGGATTCGCTTGTTTCGCCGGACACCAACACTTGCCGTTCAGGAGCAATGCTTGCCTATAAATTTTATCCCCTTCACAATCTTTGTTTTATTTTATCGTATAGTCGCAATTTTCAAGTATTCCGGGGTATTCTGAAACTGAAAAACTGGGTGGCGTGCGAATCTTGTAGAGACTACATCGGTCTAGGCGTAGAGCTATTAAGTAAACAGGGCCTAAATTAATTTAGTAGCTTCATTTAATTGTTTGTCTTGCTTTTATTTGTCAGTACAGAATATTGTAAATTAAAATATTACTACAATGCAATACGCCTAGTATTTCATCAGACATCTGCACTAATAAATACTGTACAAGGAAAACTACAGCTTAAATAATAGTAGACGTTTCTTGTTTTGTCAAGAAACATCACAGCTGATCACTTCGACACGGCTTTTGAGTTTTGTAACCGGCCGAGGCGAAAGTAAATCATGCAGTCGGGAAAACGCACTGATCTGAAAGAAAACGTCTTACTTTGAAAGATTATTTTACAAAACATACTCGTACTCACAAGAATAATAAAAATACAAATGTTGAATTGTTATTGTCAACTGTCAAGTTCAGTTATTTTTAGACAATATGGTGTTAGCCAATCAGAATGCAAAATTGACTGGCCCAGACCAGGGCTTCCTCGTGCCTCGCCTCGTCCTCACACTGAAGCCCTGGGAACGAGGTTGCTGCAGGTGTAACCTCGATCAGAAATTCCATTATTTGTGCATCCATCTTAATAGCGCAATCAGGGGCGTTGAGCTCTAATTGTCTGGGCGTCCGGCAGCATGGGCCCCCGGAGAGTATTTCTATGTTTAGGGCAGTACGTGGGGAATATTTATATGTTTAGGGCTTTCCCTAATATATATATATAATTATTAATCTTGTTCAAACTTATCTCTTTTCACGACTCTTCAATTCCTGACAATTCTTTATCTTTAATATCTTCGCCTTTGTATAATCCTTTTAATTCTTTATTTAACTTATAGTTTCTCATATCTTCACGGCGATGTCATTCAGGCTTTCGCCTTATGAATAATGCATGAATTGTCTAGTTGTGCTCGGGCTTTTATATACGCTCTGATAGGAGAAGAAACTACAAACTACGACTCATTTCCCCTACGCAATACAGTTCGTTGAAGCAAGTTTGAGTAAACCACAAATCGGCCAACGCCAAACCGAGTCATATCCGTTACGTTAATTGTGGGATATCTTAATTTATAAAACTATTTGCTTACTAATGCATGTAGGCTATTTAATATGAATATAAGTATATAGTATAATTTAATACTAGAAGTTACCAACTCAAGGAAATTGCTGCCTCGCGGCCAAAACTTTGGGTTAGGTTGTTCAAAATCTGTTCATAATCCGTGGATAATTCAAAACTAAATAACACTATAATGGAAACATAATACTATTATAATTTTAAACAATGAAAATCGTATTTTATTGTAAGAATCGCGTGCATATATGTTACAACAATATTCTAATTATCTAAAATTAAGAAAACAGTTCTCTGTAAAGGCCCTGTTACACGGTGCAATTTTTCATGCAACTTGTCTCGCAATGGCGTTGCGAGACAAGTTGCACGAGTCATTGCACCGTTTAACATGCCTTGCAATGGTCAAAATCGTTGCGAGACAAGTTGCATGAAGCATTGCACAGAGTAGAAGTCTGTTCTACTTTTGGCAACGATTGCACTAATTATTTTTAGCATTGCAGCGTGTAACATGGCTTCGTGCAACTTGTCTCGCAATGTTTATAGCTTGGAGAGTTCCTATTGGCTCACCCCATTACGCGCTTTACTTTAATTAAAATTTGGCGCCAAATAGCGCCTCTCCCTAGTCTCTTCGCATGCCTCTGTCCCCTATCGTTGCGAGTTGCATGAAAATCATTGCAGCGTGTAACCATAGTTAATAGAAATAATAAACATGGTTAGGAAGGCCGGCAAACTTCAAAGGCTTAGCGCTGCGATGTTGACGGGGTACTTCCGGTTGTAATCGGAGTGCACAGCTTGCAAAACAATGAGTGTCAGATGACATGTTGCCATTATGGGTTTTGGGTTACAGTATTCGACACTTAGTGAGGAAACATATAGTTTGAATTGGGCAAATCTTGAAAAAAATGGACTCCGGTAGCGAAGAAGAAAGTGTTTTAGACGTTGGGGAAGAACAGTTATTTGAAGAGGACTTAGAAGTTGACGAATTCGCAGAAACTTAGAAGCTAATCAAATCGAACGCCGAAGAAATTGACCAGCAATTGTTGGACGCGATCAGCGAGGTTGGTGGTAATATTGTTCAAATGCTACTATATTCCATTTTGCCACATGGTTATATCATGGTTTGTTTCTTGTATAAATATAAGTAGAAGGAGCGAAGCACTTTCAATGTCCAGACTGCCCAAAAGTTTGCAAGTCAAAGGGTGGTTTAACCAGGCATCGTCGAAGCAAACATCCTGATAAAGAAGAGCTAACAGTGGCTACTATAAACATTCCACCTATAAACATGGAAATTATAGCAAAAATCATTGCTGAAACTGTCGAGAAACTGCGAGAAGAAAACATTTATCCAAAGGAAATTCTCGACATTATATCCAAATTGAAGCCCAGTGAATCCTTTCTCAAGTTCATAACCAAGGTTTTTCGTTTGTTCTGCAGAAAGCTCAACCAGGATAGGATGCTGGCATTGTTTTATGGCGAAATAATCAAAGATTGGAGGGTGTACTTTCCGCCTTGTGACAATCAAAAGGCTATAAATATTTTGCTAATTCACCTCCCGCAAAACTTGGTTGTCTATCACAAACTTGCAAGCAACAAGCAACGTGATGATCAGGTAAGGTGTACTGTCAATGTTATTTATTAATATATGATGTTTGTGCTACCGTGGTGTTACGTGGTGAATGTGTGGTAAATTTTGATTTGGGAGAATATATTAAAAACAGGAACTAAACTAGCAAAACCATGGCCATGCTAATAAAAAATACCACCTGAAATTACCAACACCAACCAAAAGTACAATGATGCTTCCTATTAACCGATTGAGTTGCATTGCGCCCTACTTTATTATTTTACTCTGTCTAACACCAGATGATTTTACTCGTCAAGGGGAGAGCGCTGGTGCTTAATGGTTTAAATACATTAGGTCTGCTGGGCCTATGGCACCTACCTTTTGGGATGGGTAAATTTACACAATTACACTATAGGAATTTCTACAAATTCCCTTCAACAATCTGCCTTTAATAATTTTAGGGAGAAGATGAAATTGGTTTAAAACCAGAAGAAATTGGTCCTCTCTCCTATGTTACTGGGTATGTCCTGCAGTCCCTCTACAGGAAAAGTAAAAACTCAAAGCACTGGAACTCTCCTCGTAGTCAGGAACTGCAATTTCTACTTCAATTTCTACTACTACTTGAGGAAACCAAAGAAGACCAATACATTCAGTCTTTATCAAGAGGCGGTCTTTGGACCCCAAATGAAACAATAAAAACATTGCTAAAACAACAGAATTAATGTTTCGCCAGCACCTAAAATTGAACAAGAGTGCATCTGTTCCCACCGATAAAGTTGTAGACCAGATTCTTGCAACACCTGCTGTGACAAGTTTATGGGAAAACATCATTACTGATTTGGATTCTCAAATTTCTTCTGAGTGCAACAAGCTTGCTCTGGAAAACTTTATTAAATTGTACCATGAGGAACCGCACTAGGTGCGAAAAAATTAAGGGTGAAGTGTCTGTTGCCATAGAAGTTGTAATTAGGTTTGACAGACACCAATTATAGGCTATTAATAAGAGGAGAAGACACTTTGTAATGCAATACATCGCTTGCTGTTACTGTTAAATATTAAGGCATGTATTTAAGTTATTAATTAACGTACAATATGGTTTGTTTACGCTGTCATCACTTTACAAGGAAACTACAAATTATACTGTTTTGCCATAAACGCGCCAAATTAGAATTATCAGTGTCTGGTGTAGCTGGCTTAGCAAATTATTTTCGCATTGTTTGGACCGAGCCAGATAGAAATTGGTACGCCTATAATTACTGCTTGCCCGGTTCAAGCATATCAAATAGGAATAATGGCAATAAATATATATTGCAATGTTTCCCGTACGAATTCAAGCCGGTCAATATAAAAGACCTAAGCTTCAGGACTACAATGGTAATCTAGTGCCATACCGTTGGTTTAATGCTGGACGGAAAATCGCCGAAGCTTACATTGTCTCGTCATTCGGTATCTTAACATTCGCGATGAGAAAGCGCAGTTAGCGCACACTTGACGGAGCGTGGCTACAGTCCAGCGTATTCCAGCATAGACGCCAAATGGTCAACTCGTTCCCGCTTGAAGAAATTGGCGCCAACACAACACCAAGCGTTACTCTGAAGAACAACGAAAGGGACGAAACGGCGCGAATGATTGAGCACATAATGCATGCTCTTAGAGAACAGATTGAAAGACCAACCAAAAACGTATACAAACTTTTGAAACGGCTTAATTCTCGCTTATACGAACGCGAATGGTCTTCATCTTACTAGGATTGTTCAGAGTGATGTATATTGGTATGGTTAAACAATTTTCATAGTTCTGGAAAGCGTACAGTAAATAAATAACTACGTGCAGTAACTCTCATGCTGAAAGGAGTCAAGAAGGGTAGGTTTATGTCAGTCTCTGCAACTCGATCTCGATGTTTTGCAAAGTACACGGCTCAAAGTATTGGCCGAAAGCTTTCCAATCCACTTATTTGATACTGTATTAAATATTGTAAATTCCAATGGAATTTGAGTTGCTCACATAATGTTGCGATAAATACAATATGACATTGCTTTGCTATAATGCACAATCTACTGCATGATCTTGCATGATGACAAGTTTATTTGTTCCAAATACTTTTAAGCTGATATACTCTTGTGTCAGAAAGATGCGTCATCTTATGCTGACAGATTTTGAAGATGCTTCATCTTACCTTAATCAGTAATTGAAGCTTAAAATTATTTGAATAAATAGGCATATGGAACTACGGTTTCTAAATTGAAATGGAATTTGAGTTGCTAACATAATATTGCGATAAATACAATATATATGACATTGCTTTGCTATAATGCACAATCTACTGCATGATCTTGCGGCATGATGACAAGTTTATTTGTTCCAATACTTTTAAGCTGATATACTCTTGTGTCAGAAAGATGCGTCATCTTATGCTGACAGATTTTGAAGATGCTTCATCTTACCTTAATCAGTAATTGAAGCTTAAAATTATTTGAATAAATAGGCATATGGAACTACGGTTTCTAAATTGAAATGGAATTTGAGTTGCTAACATAATATTGCGATAAATACAATATATATGACATTGCTTTGCTATAATGCACAATCTACTGCATGATCTTGCACGATGACAAGTTTATTTGTTCCAAATACTTTTAAGCTGATATACTCTTGTGTCAGAAAGATGCGTCATCTTATGCTGACAGATTTTGAAGATGCTTCATCTTACATTAATCAGTAATTGAAGCTTAAAATTATTTGAATAAATAAGCATATGGAACTACGTTTCTAAATTGAAATGGAATTTGAGTTGCTAACATAATGTTGCGATAAATACAATATGACATTGCTTTGCTATAATGCACAATCAACTGCATGATCTTGCATGATGACAAATTTATTTGTTCCAAATACTTTTAAGCTGATATACTCTTGTGTCAGAAAGATGCGTCATCTTATGCTGACAGATTTTGAAGATGTTTCATCTTACCTTAATCAGTTGAAGCTTAAAATTATTTGGTTTGAGTTGCTAACATGATGTTGCGATAAATGCAATATGATTGCTTTGCTATGCACAATCTACTGCATGCATGACCTTGCGTGATTGCAAATATATTTATTTGTTCCAAATACGATTAAGCTGATATACTCTTGTGTCAGAAAGATGTGTCATCTTATGCTGACAGATTTTGAAGATGTTTCATCTTACTTTAATCAGTTGAAGCTTAAAATTATTTGAATAAATACGCAGATGGTACTAAGATTTCTAAATTCAAATGGAATTTGAGTTGCTAACATGATGTTGCGATAAATGCAATAATATGCTTGCTTTCCTATGTTATGCTATGCTATGCACAATCTATTGCATGATCTTGCATGATCGCAAATTTATTTGTTCGAAATACTTTTAAGCTGATATACCCTTGTGTCAAAAAATGTATCATCTTAATCAGATGAAGCTTAACATTATTTGAATAAATGGAACTATCTATGATTCTTTTCAAGTGTATAAATATAGTTTCTGAAATGCTGCTGTCATACAAAATATGCTTGCTTTGAGTGGTGCACAATTTACATTGACTTGAACGTTACGACGAGGCTGTGGCTTATAGTTTCTTTGTTTTATGGCATTGATAAAAGAAATACGTCTTTGTAAAATTTCCCAAATCTCGAAATATCCTAGTTTCATCTAAGTAATTTGGAAGGCATATCCGTCATAGCACAACTAAGTAACACCTTGAAGTATCTGCACGACAACAAGATTTTGCACAATGTCAATGATATAAAATTGGACAATGTCATGGTTATTAAAGATAATGAGCAGTTCCATGCCATACTGATAGACTTTGGTAAGGCATGTTCATTCGCAAATGCTAAACGAAAGGAATTATCCGAGGAGTTAAAGGCTGAATATCGGGAATAGCATGCGCATATTGCACCTGAAATAATAGAAGGTAAGTCAAAACAGTCACCAGCAAGCGATGCCGATGTTTATGCTTTAGCGAGAGTTGTTTTAAATAAAGGTTGGGGAGTTTTATAAGTGCGAACAGATTATCGTGCTAAGCAAATCATGTCTCAACAATATATTTAAGAGATGTACTCTTAAACATTTATCATAGTCAAAGAAGAATGTGCGTCAAATACTGAAAAAAAACAGTTAGCCACCATCACAGAACGCATAACTTTATAATATGTCATTCTGGGTACCATGGCGATGCTGTTAAGTTGAGGCCATCAGAAGGCGAAAAAGCGCAATATTTACACGTGTTATTGCTTCCCGCAATAAATGTCATACAATAAATCAAAAATTGTTATCACTCAGAAGATCCAAAACACCTTCAATCTGTACCCTTAATTAATAACAATATTAATAACAGGTTTCGTCAGAGCTCCTGCTGAGATCAGCAATATCATGTAGCGAAAAATCTTAGTTAATTTATGCACTTCACCTGGATTGGTGACAGTTATGAGCCAATGCGTTTCCGGAGATTCGTGTTTTTAAAACACAAAGTTTGCATAATTAAGGCAGTGCGGTTCGTCATGTTCAAGTCCGTAGCTTTTCCTATGCTAGAGACATAGTTAGTAAATAAAAGCTGAAGGAGAAGGCATTGAGGAGCAAGGCTTTGAGAAAGGAACTGAAAAATGCAGATATTTTATAGATGTATAAAACTGTGGGCACTGAACTACAGAATAAAGACAAACAGAAGGTTGACTCAGCAAAAAAGGCGTAACTGCTCCCACGCCATGATTCGTCATCAATAGAGATTACGTCATGGTTGACGAGTGCGTACGATTTTTATTCACGAGTTGTGAAAGATTACTAACGAACGAGTGAGCGCAGCGAACGAGTGAGTTAGTAATCTTTCACAACGAGTGAATAAAAATCGTACAAACGAGTCAACCATGACGTAATTTGTTTATTATATATATAATGAACCGTGATAAATCGACAAAAAGGACTTTATAACGGTGGCCAATTGATAACAAAGTCAATCGACTTGAATGGTCCAAGGACAAATCAAATGTGTTTACAACATTTATTAGTTTAACATATGAAAAAGTGAAAACAATCATCCTAACAAATTAACAATCAACATCGAGATCAACATATACAGCTATGAAGATCTAATATAGCCAAAAGGAAGCCATTTGACAACTCAACACATAAAAATACATAATTAAACAAGTTGTCGCCACCTATACCGGTGGCTATAAAAACTGTATAAACTGTTTAAAAAAATTGTAGTTCAATCTGACTCAGAATCGCTCAGAAGTTTTAAACGTTTGTATGTTTTTGGTGGGCTATCCACATTTGTTATAGATAGTGTTGGAGACTGCTTGAGAGTATTTATTGATATATTTATACTCCCTCCACTTATAGTTGCGTTCGAAAACAGCGCCGGCATAGCATGTTCTTGGACATTGTGTTCGCTTGTCGTTTTCTGTCTGTTCGTCGACGAGTGAACTTCAACCCCTGAGTTTCCAGTGGTCAAGTTAGACAAATGACTCAGCTTTCCAGTGGCAACTGAACTGAGAGTTCTCGACATTTCCATTTGCTGTGACTCGTTGACAGTGGAATAATGAGTAACACTCTGCAGGTTCTTGTGGCCCGACAGTTGAATAATGTCTGTTGGTGGAAAGTTTTGGTTTACCAAGGCCTGCATCATTGTTTTCCTTCCGCTGTGGTTGGTAAATTTGGTAGTAAGTCCAGCTTTCACAGCCATGTTCTTCATTATCGAATTTAGTTTATTAACCCCGGCGGGGGCTTTTTTGAACCAAGCTTTACATGAAACGGATTCAGGTTTCTTTAAATTGTTTACAGCAAGATAAAATGGGCTA